CGTCTTTTTAAAGTGTCTTTGTTAGATGATCAATGTGTCATCATGGTTGCCCAACCAATCAGCTCTGCTGATAAGCAGGAAGACACTCCAAGGCCACACACACATCACTGGGGAATCCAGCAGGACCTGTGAGTCAAGGTATAAAGTTTACGGTGGCAAAGCATCAGTAGCCCTGTGTGTCTTTGTTATGGAAAAAAAAATCAGACATTTTTTCAATAGCCAGTTATAATCATGATGGTGTGCCACAAAATAATAAGAAAATAAAAATGAAGAATTTTCAGCAGAATTAGTTTATTTTTACAACTAATGTCTTTGTTTTGTTTGTTTCTCAGCAGGTAACCCAGACTTCAAATTCCCAATTCCCCTGCCTCAGCCTCTTCAGTGGTGGGATTACAAACATGTACCATCATGCTGGGCTTCAATTAAATATCATTAATAAAGCCAAATGTGGTCTCTGCAGGTGAATTTCTTGCTGTTCCAATCCTTAAATAAAATGTGCTCACACTAAACTGACTGCACAAGCAGTAAAAGACCCATATTCCAAGACGTGGAGCAACTGCCAACCCACTAGTATGTGGGACTCGGATTGAACAATCTACTCACTTTGATTGGAAGATGCTAACAGATAGGAGAGATGCTTATAACTGTACCTTCTTTCGGTACCCACCCAAATCAGCGGTGGAGAGTCATACTCTCGCCTGCACCTGCCCTGCTATTAGAGCGAGGATTCTTGGCCCGGTTTGGACTCCTTGGTGCCAGCTAACCATGCTATCTGCACCAGCACCACTGGGCTGCAGGGATATGGAGATGGAAAGTCAGGCAGATGGCCGTCGGCAAGCATCTACATGCCTGAGAGCTCCATGCCAACCAGGTCTTAGAGTGATGGCTCACTGGACTAAATTATAAGGGGAGGTATTAGACATGTAAGTGCACCCTCAGTTCCCAGTCAGCCAATCACTGGCTTTTCTTTTTAGTGAACAACTCCCTTCCCTTCCCCCTTCCCTCTTTTCCTTCCATCCCCTCCCCTCTCCTCTTCTACCCTCTTTGCCTCCCCTCCCCTCTCCTTCCCTTCCCTCCTGCTCCCTCTCTCTGCCCCCTCCCTATCCCCATTCCCTCATTTTGTAGCTACTCTGGGCCTGGAACTTCTAACCAGCTCAGGCTGGCTCCACATACTCATTCTCTGGCTTCAGGCCTGAGTGGATGGGTTAACAAAGGAACATCACCATACTTACCAACGTGGTGGTATTTTGTTTATGGTCTAACAAATAAAGCTTGCCTGAAGATCAGAGTGTGGACCTAAGCCACTAGTTAGCCATAGAGGCCAGGCCGTGATGGCGCACACCTTTAATCCCAGCACTCGGGAGGCAGAGGCAGGTGGATCTCTGTGAGTTCAAGGCCACACTGCGCTACACAAGACTGATTTCAGTCTAAACGAGAAAGCAGAGCCAGGCAGTGGTGGCATACACCTTTGATCCCAGCACTCAGGATCTCATGCCTCTAATCCCAGCATTAGGGAGGAGGAAACAGGAAGTGATATGGCTGGGCAGAGGGAGGATTATAAAGCAGGAGGAGACAGGAGCACAGGCCCTTTTGGCTGAGACTTCTGCAGAGGTAAGAACTAGTGGCTGGCTACTTTGCTTCTCTGATCTTTCAGCTTTCACCCTGATATCTGACCCCAGGTTTTTATTATTAAGACCAATTATTATTTGCACTACACACCAACAATGGACACTTGCAAGAAATTAAATTAATCTTATGGATACATTTGAATCTTTCTCTATTCCCTCTCTTTATTCTTCCTTCATTTGGTGTTGATTGGTGCCATGTGTGTTTTGTATGCTTTCTCTACTTATGAACATTAGTAACAGTGCAGGTTTATATACCTCAAACTTTAAGTAGAATCATACTGGTAATGACGCATCAATTTGTAGCTTATACTTGTACAAACTGTTTTTGAGATTTGCATAAATGACGGTCTTGTTTATTGTTATAGTTTTGTTGTGTTCCATTGAATCAGCCAATTAATTAACCATTCCTTTGAGGGACCTTGACATTCTTTTCCATTTTAGGCTGGCATCAATGCTGTCCAGTGTATTTTGACAGGTCCTGTGTGCATAGATAGGAGCCGTTCACTGGAGTGTATGTCAAGAGTGTGTTCGCTTCATAATCTTTGCTTTCCTCATGGCCCTGCCTAGCTGGCTGACTTTCACTGACATCAGCAGTATTTGAGAATCTCTGCTGCTCACCACCACTGACTAGTGTAGGCTTTTAAAACCTTTCCAATCAGGTAAGTTGAGAAACAGTGTCTCTTTGTTGTTTTAATTGGCATTTCCCTGATTATCCACAAGACTGAACATCTTTTCCCTATTAACTATTCACTTTTCATCTTCTGGGAATTACCATGTCATATCTGGTTCGTTTTATATTGTGTTATTACATTACATCATTTGTTTTTGTTTTACTGATTAGTAGGAATTAAGTGTTCTAAGGAAAGAATACTAATGCTGTGTCTCTCTGTGTCATACATGCCTTCCCATCCCGGGCCTTGCCTTTGACTTATTTATTTGTTTAAGTACTTGCTTGTTCTCAGGGTGGCCAGGGTCACTTATCTTTTCTTCCATAATTTGAGCTTTAAATGCCTGTTTAACCAATGCTTCTGAGGCTGAAAACAAAACATAACACCGAAACCTCTGGCCAGGCATGGTGCATGCCTGCAATCCCAGAATCCCTGAGGCTGAAGCTGCGTGATCATGAGTTCTAGGACAGCCTGGACTCACAGCAAATTCGATGAGTGCCTGGACTATAAAGAAGGACCTGGTCTCAAAAAGGAGAAAAACAATGGACAGATAAGGGGAAAGGAGAGCTTTCCTAAGATCAAGCTCAAAGAAATCTACACACCAACCTAAAATGTTGTAAATCAAATCGAATTTTTATCAATTTACTCATTGTCTGTGATGTTTTGAAGTGTTTAGTCGATTGTTCTAGCACCTTTGACTGCACAGTCTACCTCTTCCCAAGGACGTAAATTCCTGCAGTGTACCCCCCAGCTGTGTGCTCTCCTTACCCTCAGGAACAATACCACATTGTCATGCTGACGGCCATCTCAGAGGACTCATATCTCACTCTGGCAACATGTGCTTCTTCTCGACAGATTACCTACATAGTGTGAGAGATAGGCCTTCTGTGGACGCATGCACGTGCCACTGTGACCATTTGAGTCTTGTTGCAGGGAATGTGCAAAGGTCAAGTTAGAACGCCATATGAAACACAGCCACTTTATCGGGAACATAATGTATTCTTCAATGTATTTAAAGGCTTTCTCAGTGTCTTTCAATAAAGCTTTATGCCACTCTCCATAAAGGTCTTTTTTTTTCAAAGATTTATTCTGCATTCCTAATTATTTTTTTGTTCTACTGTAAGTAGTATCTTTTGTCCAGTTAATGTATGTCTTTGGCTGCTGGTGATAGAAGGAAAAGTTAATTGCTGTGCTTTTCACTTACTTCTCCTGTCTTTTTCCTGATTATACATTTCCTTGCAATTTTCCTATGCCCAACAACATTGTCTTTTATCTTCTGTTCTTATTTTGCTATGCTAGCTGGGATTGGATAAAATGAATGTTTAATAGAAAAGTTGGTAGCCGAAAAACCGCCTCTGTCTGAGACTATAAAGAGAATATTTAAGAATTTTGGGAAAAGCTAAGTGTTACCAAATACAACGAGGTTTGCTTTCGCCTGATTCAGAATGTATGGAGGGTTTGTTTTGAGCACAATAGGCATTTCTAGTCATCTCGAAAATCACTATACATCACTTATTATTTCCATTTCCCAGCGTGCCTATGGCTGGGCTGCTGCTCACAAAGGACAAGTCAAAAATAATATAGATCTTATTAATTTTGGGCACAGTTGGCCAATTTCATATTATTCACAAATGTCACACTGAACAGAACAAATAAATGTACACACGGTCATCAAATGCAGCAGACTGGAGCGAGAAATCCAGATGCGAAGCAGAAAGTGCAATTCTAAAACTATTCTGCATTCAGGTCCTAGACTGGTTCCCTTTGGGGTCCTTACATTTTGTCTGCAAAATTAAAAGGGGGCACTCAGCAGCGTGGAGAGGTTGTTTGTGGGTAGCAGTAAGAAATCAGGGTTAGGTGCTGGAGTGGATAGAGAGCTGGGGGGGGGTGTCTTCACTTTTAGTGCCTTGAGGCACTAAAATGCCAAGAAGGCTCTTATTACAGTGACTACCCAGCTCAAGGAAACTATCATTGCTTTGTTAGAACCAGTGGCACCTTCTACAATACGCTGCCCGAGAACATTTTTGTTGTGGTTTCCCTACAACAAGAAGCAAAACAGTTTAAAGCCCCTGCCCAAATGCATTCTATTCAAAGGGTACATTACAATTTAAACCATTTAAAAAATCTACAATTTAATAGGGAGTTTCAAGTATATTTTAAAGACACTCCATTAAAGTAAGTAAAGACTAAAGCAAAATTTTAAACCAAGTTTTTACTGTATCAGCATAATTGACTGCGGGGTCTCTTTAAAGACTTCCGCTTTGTGTGTTGCACAGTCTTAGTAAGTGGCACTAAGCACCTCCTAGTAACAGAAAAACAATTGTTTTGACACCATGGGGTAAATAACCCATTTTACGATGGTATTTTCCAGGATCTCATTTGTTGAATGGACAAGTTAGGATTTGTGGAGCTGAAGGAAGGAAGTGATGAACTTCAGAATAGGCCTGGAGTGCTTAAATAGTGTCCTTTCCATTACGCTGATTGCTAGTTCATTGACAACACAACTCAGAAGGACTCTGTTCCCAGGCCTCCCTGAGCTGAACCGAGAACCTGGCTGCCAAACTCTGCGGAGATCTGGCCCAGGAGCTCTCGCCGCTTTAAGGCCTTGGGCCCGCCCACCAGAAGGCCCGACCGCGCGAGGTCTGCCGGGAGTTGTAGTTCCAGGCCGTAGCACCTCATGACTCGTCCCCCCACCCCCACCCCCTTTTCACTGCCGCCCAGCAGACCACAGACTCTGAAACCGCTGCAGATTGAGCATTGATGACTTCAAGGTATAAACTGAGAGACATTTTCTTTAATCGGAGGATCTGGGCACCGCGGATGATGCTTAGAAAGAGTTTGGAGGGAGAGCAAGCGAAACGCATGCGCCTGGGTGCCTTTGAGGGGCCGCAGCTCCGCCTGTGATTCTCCCAGAGCTGTGGTGCAGGGGCCTTAGGCCCTGTGGTACAAGTTTGTGATAATATGGTTAGTAGGTCGCGAAGTTAACCGACAAAGGCAGACGGTGGTCAGGAAGTTTTCTTGCACCCCATCCTGACTTCCAGGACAACCCCACCTCCTCTCTTCTCCCAGTTTGCAGAATTGCAGTTTTCCCCATACCCCACCCCTTCATCTCTCCGTGGGAAGGCTTTCCCTGCCGTTGTGAAATCCACTAGAGCTCCTCAGCCAAGGCCTTTGAGCCTGCCTGGAATTCAAACTGCCCCTTCTTGCCAGCTCTAGGTCATTCCAGGCAGCAAAAGGCTCCGGGCGCTGGCTCCACAGGAGGTGCTACTGTCAGATCTCCAGAGTCGCGATTACCCTGACTCCTCCTCCGGCAAACTGCAAACTGCAAACCGGCCAGGTAGATTAGATACATATTAGACGTCCTTGATTCTTAAAGGGCCTTTCATAGCTTCTTGTGCTCTTTGAGGTGGCATCATTATACAAAAGGACAGGTGAGAATCTATGACTACTGTAGTCAGGGCCAGAACCCTCGAACTGAGAGCTATAGGAGGAGTTCTAAAGTTGCTTTTCCATCGTGTCCACATAGACAGAAGTAAAGGTGACCAGCTGTACCTGATGTTAGCTGCCTTTCTGAATGGCCAGTCTAGACCACAGCCACCCTTCAATTATTGAGCAATTGCCCTTTGGTGAGTGACTCCTTCCAGCAAACACAGAGGGTTTTGCCTAGAGAGATGCTTAAGATTGAGCCAATACGTAGTGCCAGAGGGTGGAAAGATAATCATCAGATTTTTAACTAAGGGAGTAACACCTCGCTGCAGACCAGGTTTTGCTCTAAAGTGTCCTTTATTTCTCGAAGGGAAGAGTGAGCCACACCTTGTCTGCTCTTTCCCATTCTTCAGCGGCTCTTCCTTCTTCCTGGTATCAGCAATGCTAATATAAACGTCAAATCGGCATCTAAGTGGTGAAATGGCCTGGGCCTGTAGCCCATACCTTTAATCTCAGCACTGGGGAGGCAGGCAAATAGATCTCCAAGTTCCAAGTTGGCTTGGTGTGTATAATGAGTTCCAGGTCAGCCAGGGCTGAAAATGAGAAGCTGTCTCAAACAAGAAAGAAAATGAAGTGCAGGAATTCTGTAGCTATCCCTTCAGGTTGCACATAGTGTGTGTCGGGAAATAGGGAGATGAAAACAGAGGCATAGATTATGCAAAATTGGGGGACAAGGAGTACCAAGCTGGTTGGAGGGGGTCTCAGAAATCTGTGTGTGAAGCAGTATTTGCTATGCGGAACTTCTGCTGAGCTTGGAATTGTACCTTCTTTTATCAGCAGAAAAGAAAGGTGTCCCCCATCTCAAAGCCCCACATGAGCTCTGCCTGAGAGGAATAGGGGCTGGTTACTTAGTCTGCCATGGGCACACAATGCTCCCTTCTCCCCGGTGGTCACCTGTTGAAACCGCACTGCTCAGAGACCCTGGCTTTCTGGAAACATCTGTGGAACGCTCTGTGAAAATGCCTTTTGAGTACACGGCACATTCTTTTGAGCCTCTTCTGCACTGGAACATCTTGTTCCTTCAGGGATTGATACTTGGAAACAGCCAGAAGTCATTTGGATGCACGTTTGGAAGACAAGGAAAACTATCATGCTACAGAATCGCTGCTGGTGAAATCTGAGAGATGCTTTGGGGTGTGAATGAAAGGCAGGGCTTCTCACCTTGGAGCGTGGAGATTCTGGGTGTAACGTTTTTGGGGGGTTATGTTTTTAGCTGATGTTGTAATCTCCCAGTGATTCTACAACTCAAAAAAGTCAATGATATAAGGTCCTTTTTCTGTGGGTGGTGGAGAGAAGTCACGGGTCAAGAGAGCAGGGGTCAGGAGTGCAGAGCGCAGGTTGTAGTTTCACCTGTAATTTGATGTGTGGTCACAGTGGTTTCCAGAACTCCCAAAACTTCCATGTCCTTACATGCAAACTGGGTGGGTGAGTTGTGTCTCCAACACTGAGTTGCTCTAGGTTTTAGTTAGGTTTCTATTGCTGTGACGGGAACGCCATGACCAAAAAGCAAGCTGAGGAGGAAAGGGTTTATTTGGCTTATGCTTCCAGATTGTAGTCCATCATTGAAGGAAGTCAGGACAGGAACTCAAACAGGGCAGGAATCTGGAGGCAGGAGATGAGGCAGAGGTCATGGAGGAGTGCTGCCTGCTGGTTTATTCCTCATGATTTGTTCAGCCTGCTTTCTTATAGAGTGGAGGACCACTAGCCCAGGGATGACCCCACCCGCAATGGACTGGGCCCTCCCCCATCAATCACTAATTAATAAAATGCTCTACAGGCTTGCCTGCAGCCTGATGTTTTTCTATTCTCTCACACAATACATCCCAACCCCAGCCTTCCTCCCCTCCGCTGCTCCCAGTTCCCTGCCCCCAGATCCACTGCTCCTCCATTTCCTTTCAGAAAAGAGCATGCCTCCCAATGATTTTATGGAGACATCCTCTCAGATGATTTTAGCTTGTGTGGAGTTGACATAAAACTATCCTGCACACTCTTTAATCCCATAAAATCCAAGCAGAGAAGATTCAGGAAACAACAGCTTGCTTTTGAAAATCAAACATCCCTTGGCCAAGCAGGTAATTCAGCTTTCCCAGGTGACTCTCTCAAATGTCAATCTTCATTTGGATGATTTAGGACTGATGTGCCTGATCACAGACATCAGCATCCTGGTATTGGAACGAGGAGTCTAGAGACATCAAGCAGGCCTAATCAGAGAGGGAAGGCAGAGAGGCTCAAACAGCAGAGGGACTTGTTCAGAATTGTAGGAGGCACAGAGGTCCTTGTGCTCACAGATAAGCACTAGGAGAACCAGGAAGAGTAGCACACAGGGTTGGTTCCTCCAAGCCAACGAATGCACTACCTGGTATCCGCCCAGAAGGCTGGGAGCAGATGGGTGTTCTAGCCCAGGGACTGTCTGTGTGCTGCGTGAGACCCTCTTCCCAGACCCTTATCCTAAGCTTGTTTTTCTCAGTCAAAATGCCAGCGACCTCTGGCCAGGTGACTCCATAAGTGACAGAGAAAGGAAGGGCAGGGTCAAGGTCACTGGTCAGGCTTCCACCGGTAGTGGGAGAGGCTCCATGCTTCTGCCATTCAGGAGAGCAGAAATTCCCTCTCATTATGGAGGTGTCATATGTAGTCAATCTATAGAACCCTTATGGAAGATGTCACGTGTACTTCACAAAGAGCAGTCATGTCTGATCTTTACTTAGCTTATTTTGTTCCTCAAAGACATTTATATGTGCTTTATTGTGCACATGGGATTGGGTTCATTATCACCTGAAAAGTTTTGACCAAACTGTGCTGTGCTTAAATATGCCTGAAATAAATTACTTGGGGTCAGCCTCCTGATGTTTGAACCGACGACCAGCTACTTAGCTATGTTGAACCAAGCTGCCTTCTTGCCTCCCCGGGGTTGTCCCTCTGCTGGCCTTGAAGGTCACAGAGATACACACTCCCCTCCTGTGCACAGCGTGGTACAAAGGGTTGAGGAATAAGAGGGAGTCTGGAAGGGGCAGCAGAATGCTGTTAGGGGCAGAGGCTGTCTTCAGGATTGAGCCTGCACTAACGACTCTGCCATTAGCCATAGAAGACAGGACTCTGGTGACCTTCCGAAGTTGGGGAATAGCTTAGGAGCTACCTGATGGCTGTGGGTTCATTCCCACTCTCTCCCCCCTGAAAGCTTAAACAATTTTTCTAAGGATAAATGTTTGTTGGTATTGATTCCATTGATAAATATGGTTAATTTTTTTTTAGATTCATATTTTAGCATGCGATTTTTTAAATAAAATGATTTAGGAAACACTGGTCCATGGTTACTTAGTTACAGTTAAATAGGAGCGGGTAGTTGTTGGGTACTGTTGCACAGCAGGACCAGTGTAGGTAGTGACTATTAGAAGAGATCTGGGCATGGTGGCACATGCGTACAATCTGAGCACTTGGAAGGCTGAGAGAGGATGATTGCCATGAATTCATGTCCATCTTGGGCTACACAGTGAGTTCCATGCCAGCCTGGACTACAGAGTAAGATCTGATCTCAACAAGCTAAATCTCAAAGAAAAGCATATGAAAGTTTTCATCATAATCAATGGCAAATGTTTGAGGAAATAACGTTTAATCTGATTTAAAAAAGCATTATGCAGGACGGGAGAGATGGTTCAGCAGTCAAGGGCACATGCTGCTCTTGCAGATGACCCAGGTGGTATACCACAAGGTGGTTTGCAACTGTCTTTAACTCCAGTTTCTGGGATCCCATACCCTCTTCTGGCTTCTGAGGGCACCAGACACACAGAGTGCACATACACACATGCAGGCAAATGATCAAACACATAAAATAAAAGAAACTATAAAGTAGTATGTAAGCATTATGCACATCTTATGTTTTTAAGGTAGCGACCTAAAATGTGCACCTTGGTTCTCAATCATATTCCTCTATCTACATATATTCTCTTTAGTAGGTAATTGTCCTGAAAATAGAACAAATATCAATACATTTTTCAGCCTTTTTCATTATCAACCATTGTGTTTGGAGGCATAAAAGCACTCATTATCATGATACAGTCTTGTTTTGTATGTGTCTTTTGTTTTTTAGTCTCTGAAAAATAGTGGACATCAGCCAATCCTGGGCTCTGTTTCCGTGTCAAGGTCTGCTGCTGTGGACCTAGATGAACAGTAACTTTTGGTGTTTCGGGTCTGCTCAGGTGAAATGTGTACCTATGCTCTTTGTTCCTCCTTCTCCCCTCTTCCCCCTTCCCTCCTCCTTGCCTTCTTTTTCCATTCCTCATCTGTGAGAGGAGGGAGAGAAGAGAAAAGTACAGAATGATGCTCTTCAATCTTAAGGAGCATACAAACTTGAGATAAAGGTTTCCCACTTAAGGAAGCAAATGGCTGAGTGCTTAGTCACTTGCTAAAAACTAAAACTCCCAAGGCAAGGAAGCAGAAGGGGTGGGGGTGGGGGTGGGGTGGGAAGCATTCCCTGGTTTTCATGCTCCATAATGAGAGGGAATTTCTGCTCTCCTGAAAGGCAGAAGCATGGAGCCTCTCCCACTACGGGTGGAAGCCTGACCAGTGACCTTGACCCTGCCCTTCCTTTCTCTGTCACTTATGGAGTCACCTGGCCATAGGTCGCTGGCATTGTTTCTGCTCCATAATGAGAGACCATGCAGCTTTTGTTTTATGTAGGGAAGCCAGAGGTTTTGCAGGGTAATCAAAGATTGGGGAGGGCTTTCAGAAAATCTGTTTGGCTCCAGATCAAGCTGGAGTGTCCAGGTCAGCTTCATCAATAAGTAAAATTGAAATGTTGACCTTTATTGGCCTGCTGTCTGGCTTTACCTCTCAGCAAACTCCAAACTCTGAAAGAGAAAACAGACTGCTTTGTTGTTGTTGTTGTTTTGCTTTGGCCTCTCCATCCCATCCCAAGCCAGGGAAGAAAATCTTGAGGTGGGTCAGTCTAGAAGGAGCGCTGGGTCTGGGGTCATCACTAAATGGGAGCCGGCACTGGTTAGTGTTTGTCAACTCCACAGGAGCTGAGGTCCTCTGAAAAGGTCAACTGGAAAATACCCCATCAGATTGGCTGGTGGGCAAGCCTGTGGGTTGTTTTCTTGATTGACTCTGATGTGGGAGGGTCCAGCCCACTTGGGTGGTGCCACCCCTGGTCTTGAGTTGTATAAGAAAGCAGGCTGAATAAGCCAGGAGGAGCAAGCCAGTAAGAAGTATTTCCCTACAGTCTCTGCTTCAGTTTCTGCTTCTAGGTTCCTTACTTCCCTCAGTGATGGACCATGACCTGGGATGCGAAAGCCAATAAGCCCTCCCTCAAGTTGCTTCTGGTCATGGTGTTTATCACAGCAATAGAAAGCAAAGTAGGGCAGAGCCCCAGGATGTTTCTGTCACAGGACCTGAAGCAGCCACTACTGCTTTAGAGGGCTTAAAAATAAGTACAGTCTCCCAAACTCAAAAAGGTCCGGATAGCTGTGGTGGTTTGAAAGAAAATATCCCCCAAAGGTAGTGTCACTATTAGGAGGTATGAACTTTTTGGAGTAGGTGTGGTCTTATAGGAAATGTGTCATTGGAGGCAGGCTTTGAGGTCTCATATATGCTCAAGATACTGCCCAGTGTCTCAGTCTACTTCCTGTTGCCTGCAAATCAAGATGTAGCAGCTCATTCTCCAGCACCATGTCTGCCTGTACACCACCATGTCCCACCATGATGATAATGGACTGAATCTCTAAACTGTAAGTGCACCACCACAATTAAGCGTTTTCCTTTATAAGAGTTGCCATGGCCATGGTGTCTCTTCACAGCAGTAGAAACCCTAACTAAGACAATACCCTAGAGCCAGCCTTGGAGAGAGAAAGGGCTGTCTGGAAGACACCTCTCTTAGTCTGTACAGTGGGTAGTCAGGATAGCCAAAGAGTCATGACATGAGACACACAAGAGCTTCCAGAACTAACTCCTCCTGACTACCTGGATGTGAGCTGGCTGTCTCTGATGCAAGCTGTTTTCTCTTTCCGGAATTCCTTCTCTCCATTGTTTTCACCTACAAGGTGAAAGGAGAGGGTCATTGTCCCTGAAGACAATGCTTCTGCCCCTGAATTAAATGCTTTTCATCTTTCTGTTAATTCCTATCCATCATTCCAGACTCTTAGACACCTGCTTCCCGCGAGCCTCTCCCTGCATTCCTTCCACATCCGGGTGTATTTGGATGTTCATCTGTTCCCCACCATGGCCTTAGCAGCTTTACAGTTGTGCTGTCAGTCACAGGGCTTAAAGCCCTCCACCAAGGCACCTTCATCTCCAGAGCATCTCTACACTTGCTTCTTATTCCAGCTGTGCCCAGCTGTACCATGCAGCCTGCCTCAAAAACTCTTCCTTCCACCTCTTAGTTTTATTTGAAAAGCTTCTGTGTGTGTGTGTGTGTGTGTGTGTGTGTGTGTGTGTGTGTGTGTCCGTCCCCTTCAGAAGCCTCCTTGACTGCAGAAAGAATTTATTGCCCCTTTACCCTCCATCTTTAACTCTGATGTAGCTGGAGAGCTTCCCTCCAGGTCCCACCAAGCCCTAGCAGTCCTGTAGCCCACTTATAAAATAAACACACAGTCTCTTATATTACTTATAAACTGTATGGCTGTGGCAGGCTTCCTGTTATCTACTTCTTCTATCTTAAATTAACCCATTTCTATTAATCTATAAGTTGCCACGTGGCTCGTGGCTTACTGGTACCTAACATCTCGCTTGTCATGGCAGCGACTGGCAGGTCTCTCCCTATGCCTTCCTGTTCCCTCAATTCTCTTCTCTGTTAGTCCCGCCTATACTTCCTGCCTAGCTACTGGCCAATCAGTGTTTTATTTATTAACCAATCAGAGCAACACATTTGCCATACAGAACATCCCACAGCACTCTGGAAATGTAAACTTTACCTACTTTGACATTTAATACCTTCTATTGAAAGGTTTGTTTATTCATTGATCCCTTGAACTTAAGATTCTTCTACCACAGTCCGTCCTTCTTTCCTTTCATTTTACCCTTTAACTTGGAACCTAATAGATACTCAAGAAGCGTTGAATGGATGGATTATATTGTTTCTTTACACTTATGTCCCTTCTGCCTTTTTTATTAAGTCTTTGAGGTTAGGAAACTGGCTCATTGTATCTTATTCCTAATTGCTGGTATAGTGCCTGATAATGGCACCAATGTACTCCACAATGTTTCCAATCTGCTCTATCATTTACAACTTTGAAACCTCAGGCACTTCCTTATTGTCTTCTCTGTCCTTATCTCTAGGTTGTACATATCTCATTGTCCAGTCTTCCATATTTGGCATTCAGCTCCCTGAGGGCAGCCAAAACTATACATCATCCAGATCCCTCACTCCAGTGATGAGATGTCCACTCACATGACCTCCACATCCAGCATCTCATCACACCTAGAATTGCTTTGTATGTGCTTAATGGTACTCACTTCCAAATGACAGGAAGACAGACTTGAAAACATCCTAAAACATTTCATGTTTATGTTGGCTATCGTGTTCTGTACCAGTAGATATGCAGTGCATATTTTCAAATTAATAAAGTTGATGAAACCCACCAAGGGTAATAAGCCCAAAGACAGTACAGAGCAGCAGGGAGATGAAAACCCATGAGGAGAGTGGGGAGCCAGCTCAGGGTCTTCTCCAGGCACCAGGAGACATCAAGTCTAAACATACGCCTTTCAACTGCAGAACATCAAGATCCTTCTGGTTCAGCCATAGCCACATAGAAAGGAGCAGTCTTTAGATCAAAATCCCTTAACAGTCGTGGAGATGTTCTGTTTGCTTTTTCCCACGGGGAATCATTCACTCCTCCTTTCTCTCTTTCCTTTTCTCTTTTTCCCCTTCCTGCCTTTCCTTCTGCACATCTTTATTGTACATCGACTACATGCTCAGTGCATTCTTCTAAGTGATTCATCAGTTCTCATAACCCTTGTGACAACTCTGAGATGGGGATGTCATATTTTCACTTAAAATATGATGCAACCCCATATTTGGGAGACGGAGGCAAGAGGAACATGAGCTCAAAGCTAACCTAGACTATAGAGTGAGAGCTCATATCAAACAAGCAAAACCTAGAAAAGGAGAAAAGTAACAAACCATAGATTTAAGAAATTGCCCAAGGCCACAGAACCAATAACTGGGGGACACATTTGAATCTAGGTCTTACAAATGACAAAACTTATTTGTCATTGTTTAATTTCATCACTATAGTGTCTCACTATAAAGATCAATGGTTTTTCTGTGACAGAGTCTATAAACAGAATGACAAAGTGAGCTGCGTGGTCCCTGAAAGTGAATACTGACACAGACAAGGTCCTCTATGTCATAGAGGGTCTGAGGATCAACCATAGCTCCTCGAGAGGTCAAGAGTCACTAGAGTTAAGATCTGAAGGACAGATGGGAGTTTGCTGGATCAGGACAAAATCCTGATCTGGACAGAAGTACAGAAAGTGGAGAGGCCCAGCGCAGAAGATGGGAAGAGAAAGGACCTGAGTTCATGTCCCCTTTAGGATCCTGCACACCAACAAGGACTTAACTCCTACTTGGCCCTACCTCCCAAAGTTCCTTCACATCCCAGGAACACCAAGGGCCTATGAGGGACATTTAAGATCTAGCTGTCTATTTTCGAAGTATTCATTTATTCGTGTTTCCAGCTCACATGGAATAATTGTCTTTGCTTTTGCCCAAAAGTACTAAAGTACAAAGGCAAATGTTGTTGAAGGGAATTCACATTTCCGTGTTGGTTTGAGAGAAGCAGTGTGCATCTTGACAGCCAAATGCCACAGTGAAGTGGCCAGCACTGCATGCCTGCTACTCCACTGAACCCAAGAGCTGCGCAAGTGCACTCAGATGCTTCAAGGACCCAACAATCCTAACCATGCTTTCTCATGGGAGGCTTGTGTTGAAAAGGG